AACAAACAAACGTGTGAAAGGGCGGTTGTGTGAGTTGTAAAAATGTTTTTACTGCCTACAGAGTGCATTCAGTGGTTACGCATACGCCACGTTGCACCGACCAACAGCAGCCTCTGTTCATAGTTCTGCCTATGAAAGCACTTTTACGGCGATTTGTGTGCGTCGCTGTGGCTTAACGCTATGTTCTCGCATGCTATCGTGCAAAGTAAGCCATTTTAACATGTCAAGCGATAAAAAAATCTCTCTTTAAGTTGGTGTGAGCGCTGGGAAAACGGGTGCAGACCTGTGTTTTTTTCTGCTTTTAAAAATTTTAAATGCAAAAAAACGGAAGAAATCACAGCGGAGTGCATGAAAAATTACAAATGCAAGTAAAATAGTGGATGTAAGCTTTCACAACGCCCTCTTTCGGAACTTTTTGTTTTTCTGTTTTTTGTATTTTTTTCTACTCTTTTCATTCACACTCAATTTTGTGCTAATAAATTAAAAAACAAAGTTTCAGCGTGAGGATTGTGTATTTGGCATTCGCTGCTGAGTTTTTCTTCAACAAACTGCAAAGAACCAAAAAATAAGAAGAAGAAAAATAGATTGCAATCTGATTTGAATTGTGGTTTCTGCCGCTGTAAACCAAATTAAATGCTACTTTGTCTGTTCTCATAATTACTATTCCAAGTTGTTCTACTTTGTTGTTATTTTTTATTAAACTTTCTTCTTATTTATGCTCCAGAAAGTCCCTAACGAGTTGAACTGAGTTGTGAAACAAAAAACCATAATAAAGACTAGCCGATGACAACGGCGCGATGTGAAATAAGGAAAGTGTTGAAAAAGTTGTCATGAAACTTTCGGACAGTTTCACGCCATAACAACAACAATAACCATTGAGTTAACAATAGCAGCCTGGGGAGTGGGAAACGGAGCAAGAAAATCTCTGCGCCATATCTAATTGCGTTATGGAAAAATAAAAAGTGGGAAAACAATGAAAAAAATGTTAAGCGGAAAAGGAAATGTCGAGGATATAAAAAAAACTGCAGCGAAAAAAGTTTAAAATTTCTTTAAAACCCTTTTGGCTAATTGCTATTTGATAATTCGGTGCGCGTTAAAAAACGAAAAAACTGAAAAGCAAACGGAAAAGCGCCATGTAATTTCCTGGTTTTCCTGTGTAGAAGGATAATACGGGACTACGTCAAATTAATTTTGTTTTGCTAAACGAAATTAGTAGGGAAACAAAAAGTTTAATGAAAACAACAGCAAAGCGATCCTAAACCAACTATTCTTGTAAACAAGAAAAACAACAAAGCGATCAACCTCAATTCCCTTTAAATATACTGCCAAAGTAATTTCCACAAATTTCTTTCATTTTACATTTTTGGTGTTGTTTATTTTAAATATTTGCTAATTTTTTATTTTCTTTCTAAGTTTTATTATTATTTTCTTTTCCTTTTGTTTTCGCTTTGAGTTTGGTAAAATTTCTCACAAATTTCTTGGCTTCAAACACAGCATTTTTGGCGAAATTAAATTGTAAATGCGACAACAACTCGTCAGTGCACATCAGAAGGCAACCGTGTTTTTGTAAAAGGCAATTTTAACTTTGTCAGGAATTTTTAGTGTCATAACTACACATGTATATTTCCATATACGAATGTTCGCAAAAGAAATAATGCAGAAATTCTCCTCCGTATCCAAAGCTTTTTTTCACTGCTTACCCTCCTTAACCCCATCAAGTTGACATATTTGCATTCCAATTTTTACATAACTAACTAACTATTCTCTTACTCATCTGCCGGTGCATATTTTCGACATATGTGTGAGTCCGACATATGTATGAGTTCGTGTTAGTATAAGAGTTAGAAACAAATATACAAAACAACAATAGCTAAAACTATAGAGCAATTGTGTGCATACTTTTATTTTATTTTATTTTATTTTATTTTATTTTATTTTATTTTATTTTATTTTATTTTATTTTATTTTATTTTATTTTATTTTATTTTTTTTTATTTCATTTTATTTTAGCGCTCATGTTTATTTATTAAGCAGAGTATCAACAAGCAGTAATTTGTCAAAATTTTGTTAGCACTTGAGACTTTTACGCTGGCAACTATTCGACGAACTGTTAGCTAAACACACATATACGAGTATATAGTAGGGTTCTTTTGTGTTCAGACAAGATGCTCTGGGGTGTTTGTTTTAGCTGACAGCAAATAAAAAGATAAACGCAAAAAATTATGGGTACGAAATTTTCCGGTAATTCGAGAATATTACTGCGGCAACTCTAACTTGTTCAAAATGTTCGAGTTGATCGCCAGCATGCACGTAGACACTTTTATATAGGATTGTGTGTTGGAAATTGAAAAATAATGGACGAAGGTATGACATTCCCTGTCGAGGGGCGACCGGAATTAGAAAATTTAGGTTAGCTTAACTTTTCTATTTACAGTTATTTTCTCTCAGCGGTGGCTTATACTTTGAAGTTGAACATTTAATTGAACAAAACATTTTTTGGTCTATTTATAATTATATTTCATTAGAGAATTAAAGACTTCAAAGTATCGCATGGAAGCTTTCTGTATAAGAATTTTAAGATTACGTAAAATAAAAAAATTTATATGCTTTATTATTTCCGAAGGAAAGTTCGCTTTACACATCATGAATAGATAATTAACAGCAAAAATTATGAAGCGACCTTTATGGGAACAAAAAACCGCAATTAATCATTGCATTTTGCATTATTTGTGCATTTCAGTAAAGCGTCAATCAATTATTTGGAGCGATTTTCAATTAAGCAGCCGTCGAATTTGTTGCCACAAATATTTTCAAATATTTTTTTTTTTTTTTTTGAAATGCCAACTCAAGAATTTAATTCGTTTTTAGAAAAATAAAAACAAATAGAGAGGTAATAACGAAACATAAAAAACAATTGATGTTAAGCTGAAATACGAATGCGAATACAAATGAATACAAATATTGTTCTCTGGCAAATGACCTGTTGAACTTTGTCGTTTGTGAGCTCTCAGATATGCACTTAAGGCAATTAAGTTGTGGTTAATTAATATAATTTTATTTCACTTATCAAAGGACAATATGAAAATAAATATGAAAAGTGTGCTTAGAAAAAACCTTCACAATCAAAGAGTTTTTCAAAATCGCTGCACAAATGTATTGTATTGACTGCGGATTGAGAAAGAAATTGCGGGAACACTTCTCTAGCCTGGTGAATGGTAGTAAAAATAGTATACCAGGAGATGACAAACAAGCACAGATTTTCCATTGCCCGACTGCGAAGAAATACGAATAGTAATCGCTCGCCTGAAAAACAACAGTGTGCCCTGGTAAATCCGCTGATATTCACTGTGAGTCGAATCTTGGAAAAGACTCGTAGATAATCGACACATACCAACACCAACTCTTCGTCGAGTTTAAATTTGCATTCGATGGCATGCTTCCAGCTTCATACTCGTATGTCTGAATTTTATATCCCCGCAAAACTTAGATGGCTGTGTTAACTGACTCCTTATCGTGTGACTCCTTTAGTTTATTGCTGGAGAAAATATTGTAATTTGTAAGCTCGTATTAAAAATGCCACTCGCTCGCAAGGAAAGCTAATAGGAGATTAACTAATTGACTTAAAACTATTTCATGATTGGCAGTGTGCCGCACAGGGTATCAATGCGGTGCATTCCTATATTTGGAAAAGGTAACACCTCAATGGCTAAGCCTAATTAATTCACTACACATCGCTACAACAGCTGAATGACTCATTACTATAAAGGCGTCTACATAATGGAAGATTAACGTTAATCGGTTTTATTGGATTACAAATGCGCACACTTAATGTAATTGATACCATGACAAAATGTCTGATTATGGTTGATTAATATGCGAATGTATGTGCAAATAGGTGTGTACGAGTATGCACTAGTAAATACTTGTGCTTTCATTTTAACTATTATCGGTTCTAGAAAAAAATAAAAGAATTAAACTAACATTACTTATGTGCTGGTGCAAAAAAATACTTGGACTTTGCCCAACTCTTCTGGTTTTATGTCCTTGTTCATAAATTTAATTTGCTCCGAAGTAAATAACATTCATTTTATGGCTTTTGCGCCAAAAAAAAGCATAAAAATAAAGATGAGGATAACGGTAAAGGCAACGATATAGATGAGCCTAAGGATAAGGACAGGGATAGTAACAAGTGGACGGATAAGGATAATATTGATGAGAGACATGATAAAACATAGGCATATGTTTATGATAAGGATAAGGATAAGGATAAGGATAAGGATAAGGATAAGGATAAGGATAAGGATAAGGATAAGGATAAGGATAAAGATAAGGATAAGGATACGGATAAGGATAAGGAGAAGGATAAGGAGAAGGATAAGGGATAAGGATAAGGATAAGGATAAGGATAAGGATAAGGATAAGGATAAGGATAAGGATAAAGATAAGGATAAGGATAAGGATAAGGATAAGGATAAGGATAAGGATAAGGATAAGGATAAGGATAAGGATAAGGATAAGGATAAGGATAAGGAGAAGGAGAAGGATAAGGATAAGGATAAGGATAAGGATAAGGATAAGGATAAGGATAAAGATAAGGATAAGGATAAGGATAAGGATAAGGATAAGGATAAGGATAAGGATAAGGATAAGGATAAGGATAAGGATAAGGATAAGGATAAGGATAAGGAACGAGGATAAGTATATAATTAAAAATAAAGTAGTAAATAAATAAAAAGGTCAAGAAGTATGTATAAACGCAGTGATAAGGAGCAGAAAAAACTAGAGATTATTTAAAAGATAAAAACAAGGGAAGGAATAAGCATAATAAATATAAAGAAGATATGTATAAGCATAAGAACAATAAAAAATAAAGTATAAACTAATAATGCCCCAAATGTTATCAAAAGCAGTTTATGTCCGCAGTTTATATTTACGTTAACAGCACCTTATATTTCACATACTGATCTTTCTTTCTTTCTTCTATGTATTTTTCTCTGCAGGACGAAAAGAATCAATTGCTTATAACAAATATTTGGCTGAAATTGGTAAGTTGGCAATCAAAACACAATCAAATGCAATAAAATATTGTCAAACCGTAATTACAAATCCACATACACTTCCCATTTCGATAGAAGGAAAACAATAAGCAGCCAAATTGAGGCAAACAATTTCAGAAAATGACAAATAAATCTCGGAATATTGCGCAATAAAATTGAAATATAATAATTCAATTTTCCAACGACCATTTGGGAGCGCCGATTATTTCCTCAAGACGGTAGGAGGGTATGCCGAATGGAATGCAAATATTATTCAAATGCAGAATGTCTTAAGAGCAGAGTGTGACTATGAATCTTAAAGTTCAATACGAGACGCATTAATCTTCGGTGTCAGTCAATATCATGCTGTCCGGGGAATAATGTCAACATTTATTAAAGCAAACTTACAAACAGCAAATAAACACAAATTTTGCCTTGTTGTGTTGCGAAAGGAAATGAGAAAGCTACAACACTACTCATTCATCTTTATTTATTCCGGAGCAAATATTGCAGGGTTACATTTGATTTGGACATCGAGTATAGTTTTCTGCTCTTTATTCGCAACAAATACAACTTCACGTTTCTCCATTTGTATATTTGTAAGTGTATTCTGTTGCAAGTTATGTCGATTCCGAAGAAATAGTCGCCATTCCCTGCTTAAATGAGCGAAACTCATAAATTCTTCTGGATTTTGGGCTGACGAAAAATATGCTGTCGGCACGTAAAGCTTGTGCGGCACGGTGGGCCTAATGTCTGATTATTTCGAGCCAAGATATTGAAAAGATGCGTCACCACTGCAATATAATTTAACACCTGAAGATCAGTTTCATGGCTCCCCCTGAATTATCGCGGTTCCATTTCAAATCAAATAAAACTATGTAATGAAGTCATTTCGAACTTAGTTTGATAGGACATAGTTTCGTTTCGAATATATAAATCCTGCATCGTAGAAGTCTTCCTCAACAAACTGTCTTTCCTGTGTCCTTCGAATAATTTTTCTCCAGGTAAAAAAAGCATCGTAAGAACAAAATAATTTTGCTTTACAATTTGTTAACTTGCAGTTACTGACTGTATCACTGAGATTATGCTTAGAGCAGAAAAGTAAATCAACAAAACCCGTTTCTACCAAAAAAAACCCCATGGAAAGAATTAGATCATTGATTGATAGAAAAATTGAGCAAAAAATTATTAGTAGGCAAAACAAATCATGATTTTGAAAAATGAAAATGAATATTCATGGTTGCAATGAAACTCACTCCTTTTCTTACTTTACCAGAACTAAGAGCAAGCAGAAGTGGCATAAATAATTAATACAAGGCTATAAGCAAGTACTGCTCTCATATTTGCAAAACAAAATGAGTGAAAACAAGCAAAACATTGGAGTCTAAGCTAAACTGACAGTTAAAAGACAGTTGATTGAGACAAAGCATCAGATGAGCGTCGAAAAGTGAAAAGACAAGGACATTTTATGTTTTTCGCTCGAGGCATCACTTTCGCTTTCTTATCTTGTAAGCCATGTGAGTACATCCATAGGCGCGCTAATGGAGAATGACACTCCAAATACCAGGCAAACAAAGGAGAATGCCCAAACAGCAGGCAAAAGAAACTTCATGAGAGGAAATGAAAAATTTCTTTAAAAAATTAATATCATTTTTGAAAGCGGCTCAAGTTTAAAACTGCAATTCACTTAGCCGCCTAAGCGGCTTTTAACGAAATTTGATGATGAAACCGGATTTGGAACTTGTACGCAATGACACATTTGCAGGAAGGTTTGGCAGAATAAAGTATAATCCAAATCGCACAAAATGAAATTTATTTCCCACTTAATCGCTCGCTGTCATCCTTCGCCAAGCAACAGCTAACGGTATTGCCATTTAGGTAAAGTAATTTTCAAATGGCACTGCAATTACATATTTGCCGCTCAAATACGCTTACGCAGGCTCTCTCTTATGTGTTGCTCGTGTTCCTGCCTGTAGAAGGAGGGTGTGTCGTTGCGTATGAGTGACATTAATTGCTTGTCACTTGTAACTTGTAAATGTGCAAAGGCACTTACAAGCGCCATGTAAGTGTGTTTGTATTGCAGCGCTTACAAAACACTTGGCATTCATGCCATTTACTTTATTAGTTTCACAAAAACAATAGCAAGCAAAGCAATGACATTAATACATCAATTCTCATATTTCTTTTGTTGCCATTTTTATGTTTCTGCAATTACCGATCATTCATTCACTCATGCATTCGTTCAGTCATTCAGGAATTATGGCGTGCAAATTGCCCACAAGCAGAAGTGAGTTGTGCCACATGTGCCAATAATGAAATAGGTGTTCACTTATGTATGTACACAAACACCGTTGCTGCAGTAAAATGCCTTAACTGGTGATTTTCTGATTATGAAAACAATTGTAATTTTGTATTTAATTATTTTAAGCTTAAATTATCATTATAAGCAGAAAACATGAGACTTATTATCTCCCGAAAGGCTACTTTCATTTCGAATAATGGGCAGGTTGAAATATTTCAAAAGTAAATATATTTTGAATCGCTCGCTGCGCCCAAGCAGGTTGTTGATGCGGATAACTTGTGGTCCATACTGTCAACGAAACAACCGATTCGTTGAAATAAGAGTGCAAGACCTCACGTCATCAGCCGGTGGGATGGTCTCCAGGATCGTACGATATAACACGGTTGGACAATATTTAGTGTGGTTTTCAAATTGCCGGTCACCTCTGGGCAGGATGCCTTGGAAGAGAATATTCGATTCGTTATTTGAGCCATGAGTTTGAGGCCAAACCATTTCTGAATTATTACATAACTAGTTTATAAGCGATTAAGTATCAGCTTTGGAAGCAGTTTTTAACTTGTTTATTGATTAGAAAACCATTTGGAGATAGTCTTATACTAGAACTAAAATTCATTGCATTCTTACTAGTTTGAGACGAATTTATACTTTAGTACAAAACTTAAGGAACTAAGTCTTTAGCCGTCTTTTGTAGTTTGGAAAATCTTCAAAAGGTTGAGTTAGGCTCGTTTGCATTTCATAATTTGAATTTTTAAATTTGCAATTTTCGTTTTCGATCTAAGCGAAATACGAATCGAGCACACTGTCACTACACAAAGCCTCTCCACTTCATTCATTTATGCCTCCTTTGAGTAATTTCAGAAATTTCCTCAGCCACACAAGCCCCTCCAGCGCTTGCTGGTTGCTGGCTAACATACATACGTGTCTTTGGAATTTCTGCTACGCCACTGCCTCAGCTCTTGTCATCGAAAAGCTTTCCATCACTCTTATATTTACTGCACTGCCTTCTTGTAATTTGTCTCCATGGAACTATTGTTCTTAGTCTACACAGCTCTGCGCTGCTTATTTGTCCTCAACTCGATGTTTGTTCGCTTCTTTTCTATTTTCATTTGCTTTGCCAAAATTGCTTTTTGAGGAAATTGAAAACCTCTTTTCGTTGCTAACGATAATAATATGTGTGCAGATGCTTGGCACAGATTGTCCAGTGATGCAGAAGATACAAAGAGGCGAGTGAGAGTGGAATTCAATATTTGTTTAGATACATTTGCAGATACGAAATTAATTTCATTTTTCATTATTACTTTTATTTTTTGTGATCGGCAAAGTAATGGTGATTTAAAACTATGTATGTGCAAATAGAACATAATATATTGCTACGTATATGTATGTAGTACGTTCAGACATTAGCATCCTTCGCTTGCTCACACGACTCACAACGCTCCCCTTAATCGCCCCCTAAGCCGCAATTACCAGCTGCCTAACCACTTGATTGAAGCGGATCGCCATTTAATCGTGAAAAAATAAAAAGTAACATAAAATTAGAAAAGAAAAAAAACAACAAAGAAAAAGGGAGAAATAAAAATTGCGGAAACACTAGAAATTAAGTAGAAAAAGCAAAAAAATAATCGCAGATTTAATGTAGTGCCAACCACCAAATGCCCAGTGTTCTCCTTTCTCCCCTTAGCCCTTGTTTCCAGCGCACCATTAGCACTTTCACCACACCCTCCCCAGTGCCGCCCACAGTCATTAGGAACTGCAGCTAAAATGTGCTGTGTTCTACGACAAGCAAATAATAACCATGCGGTGAAATCGAAATCAGTGGCTGAAAGCATACAAAAAACTAACCGCCTTTCTAGGCGCTGTCGCCCAGCCCTACTTACCACTCGCCGCTCTTTGTGCTTTAGTGTTCTGGAGCAATTTGTTCATTTTAAAAAATGTTTGTTTTCTTCGCTTTGCCTGCTCTGTTTATAATTTGGCGGTTGCGCCAAATGCAGTTTGATTACTTTTGCCAACATACTTGTTTATGTACGAGTATGTACTTAGTACTTAGTTGTTGCCGTTGTTTTAAGCGCACAACACTGCACTGAGCTATTAATAAAAATTTGCCCAAAAATTAGGCCGTCGTAATGGCGCATAAAATAAAAATGTTATCACTAATTTTATTACCAACAAAACAACGACAACAAGTTCTACTTTGGTACATATTTGTTGTTCCATTTACAGACAAAGAGGAATAATGGGTAATGTTTTAAAAGGCACTCATTCTCACTTGAGTGACGACTTTTTATTTGTTGGCGCCTGCGTATACGTAACTTTCTTGGAAAGTGAAAGATCCCTGCAGGCAAAACCCACTAATATGCAAAAATTCTAGTTTCAGTTCGGTATTTGTAAAGAAGTCCACCGATGACCTTTTGTGCGCGAAATGACCTTGGTCATTCCATCGTCATGATAGCCCACTGGTTAAAGATTATCGCTGCAGCGCGTAAGCTCCTGGTTTTTATTTTAATTTTTAATTTTTGGTGAACCAGAAATTTTCGCCATTCCGTCATTCGTATGTTGTTTTTGTACTCAGTACACCGCGACTGAGTTTCATTTCTTAAACTATAGCCTAGTGGTTAGGGTTCTTCACTGTGCTTCGTGAGGGTCACTTTTAATTTATTATTTTTTTTTTTTCCTTATTTTTTGGTGAAGTAGCAGTTCTATACATGCCAAAACAGTTTTAAAAATGCCAAGAAGAACTAGTTGGTGTAAAAATGAAACTAGTCGGATTCCAGTTGAGTATTTTCCGTCAGGGATTGGTTCGAAGCTAAAGAATTTGTAAAATTATTAGTGAAAAAATATGTAATGAAGTCTAGTGAGAACTCTACTCCCAAATATTTTTAAGTTTAGCATATTTAAACCTATCCACTTACTGCAGTGAATGTCAACCCCACCTAGTGTATTCCTGATATGTAATAAAAGCTCCTCATAAAAATAGAATCGACTTAGTCGAAATAGTAAGTCCATATAGTTGTTGACCATGTCGTCATATCGCTGTGGGATGACGATACACGCGCGATTATTTCACATCTTTCTTCACCGTTCGGCGCCTATTGAAGACACTAAACTAGGTCATTTTCCACATGATCCTTATCTCCTTCTACCAGTACATTATAAGCTGTAATATTTTCATCTATCTGCACAACATGACCACGAAAAATTTAAATCAAACGACCATTGAGCACCCAAAAACAAGATAACCACAGATACGGATTGACATTCACCACTGAAGCTCACTTTTGGTTTAATGGGTACATGAGCAAACAAAACTGGCAGATTCGGACTCATGGTATTCCACGGTCTATTTTTTAATGCCGTTACATACTCAAAAGTCCCTGTTTGGTGGGCTTTATGGGCCGAGGAAATCAGTGATCCACGCGTGTGAAACATTTTCTTTAAAATATCCCGTCAAGACCTTTTTACCGATTTCACTAATATCCGATCAAGTATATATACATTTAATTATATGATATTTTTCATTCATTTCAATTCATGCTTTTTTTCTGCTTAATTTCAGGAATGGAACGATATGAACTTGCGTTGGAACTCCAGCGAGTACGGTGGCGTGCGAGATTTGCGCATACCACCACACAGGCTGTGGAAACCCGATGTGCTTATGTACAACAGGTAAGTGTGTACGTGTGTGATGTTTGTGTTTCACTTTTGCGAAAAATATTGCAATAAAGTAGGCACTCATCAAATTATTAACATTAAGGCATATGTTTGTGTATATATCTACACATATTTGTTTAAGATAACAAAAACTTTCTCCTTTTCGCGCTCCTCGCCATGTGACCAAGTTAAAATGCACCAAACTGCAATTATCTCCCAACCCCGTACGTAGCTAATAAAAACGTCAACTGCAGTGCTACGGACAGTCTTGTTGCTTGTTGTTAGCATTTCATACGCCGCTGAGTGTTTGTGTGTGTATGTGTGTGTGTCCGATTTTATTATAGTGTTTAAGCTCCCTCAGGCGGGCTCTCAACTAATCCGCTGGACGCTGCAATTATCTCACATTCACACACTAAAACTCTTATTAAACACACTTGGTATATACAAAACATGTTTCCACACCGCTTGCGGCGTGTTCAAGGTTCGCAGCACTAAAAGCTGGTCAGCGCAGCAATTTTCATGCTTTTTATTGCTCTTTTCATTATTCTCTGTTTTTATAATTTTTTCTTCATATTATTTCCTGCTGCTGCCATAGCTCTAAGCTACGCTGCACATTGTCATTGGCTTAGGTGGCTCATGTATTGTTGTGTTCGTATGTGTTTGTGTGTTCATAGTCGCTGTCATAGGTCAAGTTTGGTTTTAGTTTCAAGTGGTGAATAAATTGTCCGCTGTCGACGAGCGCTTAAATATGTAGTATGCAGAGTGGAGGAAGTGAGTTGAGAGAAAATTGCTTTCATTTAGCTTTTGTTCCAAAGAACAATATAGTTTGAGGTTAAAGTGAAAACTCAAAAACAATATTAGGTCTAGTTAAGACTAGTCAATAACTTTTGCAACGGGTGCCAATAGTGATCTATATTTCGTCTTCTCTAAGCGTTTTTTGCTTTTACTTAGTATTTAGATGGTCACCAGCAAAGGTCACATACGATAAATTCTAACCTTTTTCCTCACCAAAGGCGAAAACGCAGTTCAGACAGCCGAAAATGAGAATAGTTTTTATCGTCCTGGTACTATGACAGCCAATCAGGCCTAATTTGGTATCGTCGTTTGGATTCTGGTAATTTCGATGAAAAATTGTCGATAAAATATTGGAAATCATCGAGTCTGACTTCGTACGACAGTTCGCACTTTTTCGATATCCCATGAGCTAAACATTACACAAAAACAGTTTGGAATCACTTCACAGTTCAAAGGCTGGATACACAGAGAAGCTCGGTTTATGGGTGCTAGGAATATTACTCTGTGTGTTTGGGGTGAAAATAATTTTGACCAATTTTTTTGCAAATAGCGAAAAGGGTTTTATAAGAGAGGCAGTATGGCATTATCTTCAAATGGCAAAATATTATCGAGTTAAATGGTGCATATTCGACATAAAGCCTTCAACGTGATGAAAAGATAATAGAATAATTTCTACTAGATCTAATAAATTGTTGAAGAAACTGAAAATTAACTGTTTATTTAGCTACTTTGAGAAACAATTCTCTACGAAAGTAGTGCTAGGACTGGGTGTGGCTAAGAGATGGAAAATATAGAGAAGCAAATATCAGCAACACCCAGCTTAACACTTTGGTCAATAAAAATTGAATATGAAAACAATTTTCAACATTATTGAATATTCAGCGAATATGTTTGGAATTCACTTGACATATTTATTCAGATACCATTGATTTCTGTTGAAGTCGCACACAAGTAACAGAAATAAATAGAAGCTAATAATAGCAAAATGTGGGCAAAATAAAACAAACAGATCTATTTCAACTGCACACATGAAAAGAATGAAATGCACCAAAAAGCAAATGCGTGCATCCTCCATGCCACCCAATAAATAAATATCTCGCGTATAATTATCTGATGAAAATACATATATATATTATTTTGAATAAAACCAAAATTTACTGGCATTTAAATTGCTCATGAATGTGACAAAGGCAATAACAACAAAAAACGATACAGTAGACCGTTTTAATTTATCACATCTCTATACCCTTCTTCTCTCTCTCTCTTTCTCTCTTTCTCTCTTTCTCTCTTTCTCTCTTGGCATTACTTTTTGTGCGTGTCCTTTGAAAATGGCGCACGCATCGTAATTAATATTTCATTGAGAGCTTTAAGCCAACAGCCAAAAACGGTATTAATTACATATATTGTTTCGTTCCGCTTCCGCTTACTCGCGGACACATCACACGCTCTCCACTCGCTATCTATCTTACCTGCTCAATATACTATAATATTATATAATTGGTCGTCAGCTTTCAAACATATGCCAACTTGTTTGCTCACAAATGCCAACATCCACTGGCACGTATGTGGGCACATGTTACAGAGTGTCGTTGACATAACGGTAAAATTCCAGTGTGGTAATCTACATATGCATTTAAAGCGCAGTAAAAACGTCAAGCAATGTGTGTTAAATCACTGAAGCGCCTACAGCGACATAAATTACTTTAATCTCCTGTGCGAAGCATACATATGCTCGTACACACCTTCCAGGTGGAAAAAAGAGTTGTTGGCTAGAGGGTTCCTAGTCAAAAGTGTATTTAAAACGACGACAACATTGGAAATTTTTAATACAAAACTATACATCAGCTTCATACTAGTTAAATACTAGTTTGTTTGCTTATGTTGAATTTCTACTTCTTATAACTGTGAATCTAATGTTATTGCAATCCCTCTGGCTACCGGAGGACTACAGGAAATACGCAAGTTGCTAAAAGCGATTCGCAAAGAAATTACCGAAAGGGTGGTGACATTGAATCAAAGAAAACTTTTTTTTAAACTTCGCAGGAAGCGTGGAAAACACTATGGATGTATTTCGTCTATGTGAGGGGTCAACAGTGTAACCTAACCTTACCTGATATATAACTTCCCTATTAGTCAAACCAACAATAGCGCGACATTCATCTTTTCTATTCACTGTTGCGAAAGCAGGTCAAAGTGGAAGATTTTCTCTTCCAGGTGTTACTGTTGGTCCCGAAATAAAACTATCCACCACCCCGAAGTTATGACTGTCAACAGTGAAAAAACAAATATTGGCAAGTATTTTGAATAAAATTATGCTAAGAACGTACATAAAACTCACATGGCTGTATTAAGGGAATACTTGAAAAAACCAGACCAGATCAACTTAATGAAAAGAATGAGTACTCTGCAGCATCCTGATAAATTATGCCCATCCGACAGTCCCAGCAAACTAAATAGTAGTTTTGCGCTCACCTCTCATGCTCTCGTTCTTATTTAACATTTCTGCCGACATTTATTTCCATTTCTGTTGTAATTCACGCTTAATTTTTTTGCGGGTTTTGTAAACCTTGAATTTCTCAAACAAATATGATTGACACATACGCCACCAGCATACGCGCCGAGATGTAGACATTAATGTGCACATACATGTGTAACTAAACTTTAGTCGAATAGAGAATCACTTACTCACTTTATCAGCACGTCACTCACGTTACCGGGCATTAAATGAACTTCCTATTGCAATTACTTTTTTCGCTTTCTCTTTTCTTCCTCGACACTTCAATTACCTACACACATATTGTTCGGCGTGGCTTTCTTTTCTCTTCTTCTATTGTAGGTTTCTACTGTTTTTTAATATTTGATTTTCGTTTCACTTTTAAATTTTTGTGTCCTCTCATCTGCTGTTGTCTTAGACAGTCACATAAGAAGAGAGCTTCTGTGACTATTGTGCGTCTAGTTAGTTCACTTTTATTGATTTTATATGTTTTGCTATTTGTTGTGCTTACTGTTGTCTGTTGAAGTAGCTAAAGCTGCTCGAGGCAATGTCATTTCTATTCACTTTCCTGAGCTCTATGCATTTATTCATTTTCAAGTCAAGAAAAAAAAGAAATTTAAAAAAAATCCTGCAATGTGAAGAGTTTAAGAGAAAGGAAACTAAATGAGAAACATCACATGTTTATGTTAAATCCGTTTATCAAGTGTAAGCTCTAAACAAGAAGCTTCTTTAGTTTGAAATTTTACTTCATTTGACTTTGCTATCTAAAAGAATGGACACTGCGTATGAGTAACTTATTTGTACTTACATTAACATAATTTAGATTCTGAGCTTACACAAAATAAGAAAAAAGTATTCCAATCATAAAACTATTTTTTCTTTAATTCTCTTCCAGTGCCGATGAGGGTTTCGATGGCACCTATGCCACCAACGTTGTGGTTCGCAATAATGGTTCGTGTCTCTATGTGCCGCCTGGTATCTTTAAGTCCACCTGCAAAATAGACATTACGTGGTTTCCATTTGATGATCAGCGTTGTGAGATGAAATTCGGCTCATGGACATACGATGGATTCCAGGTAAATATTTGTGTTTGTTTTATTTTTTTTTTTTTTTGCTTTTTTTAACTATAAATGCGAAGAGAAATCTATCAAATGGATATAAGTAACCATACAAAACAATTTTAAGAAAATATATTATATATGGAGGCTCTGAAAGGAAAAGTCCAAATCCTTTATATGAATATATACGATTTCCTTTAATTTTTTTAGGGTGTCTCACACGAAAAATTTAGTAAAACCTTTTATAAACTTTTTGTGATGTAACGATTATTACGGCAGCTCTATCGTAGAATACATCGAGAGCCCTGGAAACTCTTCTCTGAGCCGCAACGCAATTAGACTATACGCGACAGAACACGCACGTTTATTTTATTTCCTACACAGTTAAACTTCGCCATCTCCTCTTACTGTTTTGACAATTTCTTCTCTCCACAAAACCTCAGCCAGAATGAATGTAAGAATACAAATGCTCTGTATCGCGGATTGACATGGTCATCTTCACGGATGGTTCTAAGCTCGTTGAATGGTTTGGGCTACCAGATTACTCGAAGTCACAGAATAGTTTCTCGGATCTCTGATTACTCACCAATCAGTCATCAAATACTCAGATAGTCGAAATGTTACCTGTTCTTTTCAATGGAATTAAACCACACCAAGGGTGGCGTTACAACTCGAAAGCGCTTTAAACAAGCTCTGGGCTAGATGGTACAAATATTGGGATATCCCAGACAACTGTGTGGTAGATAAGCTAGTGGGAGGAGCTACTAATCTACCAATAATAAAATCTACATACTTTGCGGGCATACTTCTTTTAGAACTAGCTAAAATCAAATGCCTTAATTAAAGAACTTGTAACTTGACCGCTTCGGGCCGTGTTGAACGCTAAGAGAGTAATTCGTACACCAACTGGACTCTGTTTATTTGGACCTCACGGTAGAAGAAATAAGCACTTTTCGAAAGATTTTTTGTTAAAGCTGCAGATGGGAAGAATAGGAAGAGTCTACCAAGCCACGGTGCCACCCTAAGCACTGTTCAGCATGAGTATCAAATGTATCACTTATTCGATTGCCTAGTTGACGTAGCGAAAGCTGTTACGACGCACGAAGTATTAAGTAGTTCTGAGATGGAGAGAAATGCACCGCCGCGGTAGCGCAATAGACCTTTAGGCGTCAAAGCGCTGGTTGTTCTGTTCAGCAGCCGCACCAGCTCCCACAACTTTTAATCTCTTGAACTATTTTCGTATTTTTTGCTTTTTATTTTATTTGTGCGAGAAGCCCACCCTACATTTCTGCTCACATTCTCCTTTCTCACCCCTAAAAATTTTTGAACGAAAAAATTCCTGAAATAAAATCTAATTAATTAAATCACATTTGGCTTGGCACATAAGCAAAAAAGAGCAGATAATCAGTTAAAAGCATGTAAATATGAAGTTAATAATAAGCAAAAACAAATGATAATCAGTTTAATGAACCCAAAAACGTGTTTGGCATTTTTCAAAACATTTTCATCGATGTAATTTGGTGTAATTAATTTTAATGGGTTTTTAATATGCCCAGCGCAGCAACGAACTTCGCATGCAACACTTTGGTTTTGTTGTTGTGAGTCAAGCTGCTAATCTCATTTCTTTATTTCACTGATTGCCATTGTGATTTCTGGTTTCACTGTTCACTCATTATGAACAGCTAATCCGTGTTTTGGCTTTTTAGAGTTTTTTCTCTTTTTGGAAATGTGTTGCTTTGCTGGTGGATCACTACTATTTTTTTTTTTTTTTGCTTTTACTTCATTGAGCTTGAAAATAATTTCATGGAAACTTTATTTATTATAATTTGTGATTTGGGTTTTATTATTTCAGATATTGTGTTGATTATAAAAGAGAGATTTGAAATGAATTTTCAAAATTTTTTAAAAATTCTCTAAAAAACGGTTATTTAAAGTTTTAACAAATTAAAAAAAAGGGTTTTCCTCTTTGTCTTCTCAATTTTCCAAATTCTGTAATTTTCTGTAACAATGTGTAACTCATCACAAGTTTCAAACTCTTTCAAACCCAAAATCTCATATCTGAAAAATCGGTCACAATAGTGGTCCGATCTGGCCGGTTTCGACAAGTGATCATTTAAATGGACCAGTGCATCTGTGCACCAAATTTGGTTAGAATATCTCCGTTTGCGTACATACAGACTGACAGACGGAGATGACTGAATCAAAATTTGTCATTCCTATCCGAAAGGAATTAATTTCGATGGGTCGATCTCTACTTGGGACAGTTACATATTTCGGATCTTAGTTAAAATACCATTTCAAGGTAAGGAAGGTTATTACTTACTTGCAATTATTAAAGAAATATTAAAAAGGCAGTCAAATATGTACGCTTTGCTCGCTAACTTATTATCTAATGGAAGGTAACATGACTATGTCTCTCTCATAGAAACCCTTGCCCCTTTTGGCAAAATGGGACAATCGATTTTCATAGACTTCTTTTGGCATTTCCTGAAGATAAGAACAGGTGGTAGTTACTTGCTCCGAGCTCTGTTTGCCAAAGCTAAATTAATAGTTTGACCGTCGTATAACAGCTCATAGTAGATAATTAATTGCCAACCCCACCAAACACAAAACAAAACCATTCTGGTTGTCAATCCTGCCTGGAAAATCATTTGTGTCTCCTCACTTTCTCTCCATTTCGAACCCTACCGTTTTCATTTGATTTTGCTGTAAGTGAACCGCTTTTCATTACGAGTCGCAGATGGCAATTCGATATATGAGGTTTTTTCTCTTTTCTCTTTCAAATAACTCCGACAGCTATGCATATGTTAGTCAGACGAAGACATCAAAATTGTCGGAACGAAATTGACGAAACTAAAATTGTGCATGATTGACTGTTACAGTACCAAGATCATAGTCACATTTTCAGCTGCCTGATCTGAATTTTCGCCTTAGGCGATGGAAAACTATAGAACATGGCGTAATTTCTTCTTGCTGGTGTCCATGATTAACATGAGCTCAGACTCTACTGAGTTAAGTGATCCACACTTCTCCCATTATCGTTTCTAGTGCAAAATATCGTCTTTCTAACGGCATCTCGCACTTATAGAACGCGAGACACAGATCACTAAAGACATCTATTGGAAAAATAAAACTGAAGCTTCCTTTTATGATATTAGACTAAACTACAACTAAAATTATTGTATATAATCCATGTATAAAATGTTTATTTATTCTGAAATTTTCCGCTGAAAGCTATTTCGTTCTTCAAGCTACTAAATCTTAATTTAAGCAGGCAGCAGGGATATGTATCCCATTTATTGATGCATTTATTTTTGCATTTCTGATGCACTTTCATATACATAATCTGCATAACGTGCCCTTGGTGCATACCAAGCCTCCATCTGTGGCTGAGTCACTACACCAACTTTCAATGCACTTCGGCAGCGAAAAGAAATTCGAGTGCACGGCAGCACTGCTCGCTTCTGGGACTGAATTTCCGCGTTGCCTGAAGGCTGACAAGTGTTTGCATTTGTGGCAAGTAAAAATCACTACGTTGCGGCGTATGGGTTCGGAAGGCAATTCCCGGTTAGAGAGCAGCGGCGGAGGAATGTCATTTAATAAAGGGTTAAGAAGTCTGCAAATGCGAAGTGATTCTATATTGCTGAGTGAGAGTTCATTAATTTACACAAAAACACATCCCAATATATTTAACTTAATGACGCCTGTGAGGAAAGTAAGCCGTCAACACCGAATTTCGCTTTGATTTTGTTGGATCGACAAAAAATATTTATTTTCAAGTTGCTCAAATGGAAATCGCGATTTATTCTGCAGTTTCTGGGAGCCACTGCCGCTTCTTTCTAATTCTCGTCGCTTTCTTAGTTTATTTTTTGGCATTAATATTTTACACCGCACAAAGTAAAAAAGCATTTTTCGTTCATAATTCTATTGTAATATTTCACGGGCAAAACTTTTTGTGGTGCAAAAGCGGAAGCAAAACTGTAGGCGGCCCAATCAGCCTGTGAATGCTACAACTCCCTCTGAAGCCGTAAAGCGTAATGCTCTCTGGGTATTTCTGTTATTGTTGCAAATGGAATACTTTTTGGCTCGACCACACGTACTCCTGCTGCGTATGTGACCAAGCGATTTGGCTACCGTCTGCTGACGTGTTCGTTCGCTTGTGCGATATTTTAGCTGTGCTTTTGCGTACGTAACCAAGCAGAGATCAAATAAACAAATACACATATTATATACATGTACATTTAAATATTTCTACGAATTATAAATGCCAAAGGGTATTTGAAGACAGTTAAAGCGTAACCTTGAGTTTTGTGTGCTGCGGAAATTGGAAATGTGGTTTGGCAAACTTTGTTCTAGAAGATTTCTTTATTTTCTCTCGTTTTGGTTGAATTTGGTAAGCAGCCAGCAGGAAATGATGACATTGTCACAGAGTGGATAATTGATTAGTTAGTTAGTGGCGGCCGCGATAGCCGAGAGGTTAGCAGTGCTTTATGTCATTTGGAAGACCAGGAAGTTATTTAAATTACAGAAAAAATACATTAATAATATAAAATTAAGTTAAGTTTTCTAATTAAGATTGCTGCTCGGAAGGTAATATGAAGCCCTCCGAGTATATTTCCGGCAAAAAATAAATCCTCCCCATAAAAATCCATGGGCCGTTCGTAGACGGCTTAGTATAGACTTTACCACATCTTGCCAACTGAGTGGCCTTTCTCTTTCTCTGCTTTCTTTGGCAGGACCTGAATTGGAGGTTGGAGTATTCTTATGAGGTACTATTCGCTTCAGTCCAAAGTAGCAACTTTTGGCAAGGGTGATTCTGCGGTGGATTTCCAGGCTGACATTGTTGTTGGTGTTAATGCTATACAACATACCTACTCAGCTGAATAATGTGATAATTATTTAACATCCCACAGTAAAGAAACGATTTGAGCCTCAAATATTTCGAAATCGTTTTCATCCTGGGTAATAAATTGCATATTCAGGAGCTTTTGCAACTTGCCTGGATTAAAAATGTTATT